GGGTTTCCATTCACATTAGAGGTTGCGTGACCCAAGGGCTTGACCCTTTTGAGCCCCAGCTGTGACATCTGTTAAAGGGGGACAGCAGTGGGACCCTGCAGTCCTGAAGCTGGGGGACCCAGTGAGCAAAGTACTGCCTGGAACCCCCTGCCCCCACCAGCACCCTGCCTACCGCGCCTGAGTCCCTCCTCTGTCCCTACTCTGAATGCTTCCCAAGGACCCCAGAGAGCCACCCACTGGCCCACGAGAGCCGTGTGGGCAGGGAGGGGCCCTGTTCATCACTGTCTCCTTGGCACCTGGAACAGTGTCTGACATGAAGTGTCAGATGGATGGGTGGACGGATGGATGGACGGACGGACGGATGGGTGAGTGGGACAGCAAATGAGTGACAGGAAAACTACACAACCAGCTTATTATTGGATAGGAGAAGCAGCAAGACCCAAAGGGTAAGGAGACCTGGATCATTTAGGGAGTCCGCAGCAGAGAGACAGCGGGCTGCAGATCGGCGCCAACAGGATAATCCCCTGTCAGTCAACAGTCTGAAGGGGCGGGCACTGAGATATTCAGCCATCACAGTGGTGGGATGATGGAGATTTTTTAAAAAAACATGTATGTGTTTATTTGAAAGGCAGAGTGACAGAAAGAGGAAGAGACAGAGAGAGAGAGAGAGATCTTCCAGCCGGTTCACCCCCTAAATGGCCACAGTAGCTGGGGCTGGGCCAGCCTGAAGCCAGGAGCCAGGAGCTCCATCCTGGTCTCCCCCACGGCTGGCTGGGACCCAGGCGCTGGGGCCGTCCTCCGCCGCCCCCCAGGCGCATCGGCAGGGAGCTGGATGGGAGGTATGAAGTGGCTGGGGCTGAACCAGGCACTCTGGCATGGGCTGTGGTCACTTCAGGCGGCAGCTTAACCTGCTGGCGATTTTTGCCACCACGTTTTGGGGTTCTGAATATCGATTTTTCTACTGAGGCTGTGCGTCACTTGTGTACTTAACAAAAATTATAATAGAATGAAAGAAAGAATGAAAGAAGAGGCCCCGCTCGCTCTCTGTGGAGTCCTCCTTCCTGCCCCGCAAGGACTCGGGCTCGTCCTCGGCACAGCGAGCCGTGAGTCCAGCGTTCCGTCTTCAGATGCTTTCCCCAAGGCGGGCACAAGCCTTCCTCAGTGGGCACTTCTGTGCCCTCCGCTCAGCGCGCTGTCCTGACAGCAGCTCCTGGGCCGGCGGCACACCCCGGACGCTGGCTGCACTGAGCCGGGCCTCGGCAAGCACCTGTTCTCTCGGTGCGAAGGGGGTCGTCGGTGCTCACGTTTTACTGACCTTTGTAGAGTCAGACTCACTCCCCAGAACAGCAGTCACGGGGCTCTGTCTGGCCCTCGGGGCGCATCCCCACCTGCACGCTGTCTGCCATCTCTCCTGCCCATTGTCCCACGGATGTGTAACGCCACGAAAACAGAAAAAGAACCGCTGGGGTCTGTCTCTCCCAGAGTTCTTAGATGCAGAGCTTTGTCCGTTGTTAATAAAGCTCACACATCCTGGTTCCTGGTTCCATTAGAATTGGTTGATTTTCCATGTGGCCTGCATAACTGACTTAGAAAAATACCCATGTTCTCACCTGTATTGGCATTTTGTGGCCAGAGTAACAGAATGAAACCTCTATTTTATTTTTATTTATTTATTTTTATTTTTTTGACAGGCAGAGTGGACAGTGGGAGAGAGAGACAGAGAGAAAGGTCTTCCTTTGCTGTTGGTTCACCCTCCAATGGCTGCTGCGGCCAGCGCACCGCGCTGATCCAATGGCAGGAGCCAGGAGCCAGGTACTTCTCCTGGTCTCCCATGGGGTGCAGGGCCCAAGCACTTGGGCCGTCCTCCACTGCACTCCCTGGCCACAGCAGAGAGCTGGCCTGGAAGAGGGGCAACCGGGACAGAATCCGGCGCCCTGACCGGGACTAGAACCCGGTGTGCCGGCGCCGCAAGGCGGAGGATTAGCCTAGTGAGCCGCGGCGCCGGCCTCTATTTTATCTTTAAAAAAGATTTATTTATTTATTTGAGAGGCAGAGAGAGAGAGAGAAAGAGAGAGATCTTCCATCCACTGGATCACTCTCCAAATGGCAGCAATGGCCAGAGCTGGGCCAATCAGAAGCCAGGAGCCAAGAGTTTTTTTGGGACTCCCACATCAGTACAGGAGCCCAAGCACTCGGGCCATCCTCCACTGCTCTCCCAGGCACATCAGCAGGGAGCTGGATCGGAAGTGGAGCAGCTGGGACTCGAATCAGTGCCCATATGGGATGCTGATGTTTCACCTGCCACGTCACGGCACCAGCCCCATCTATTGTTGTTGCTTTTTTTTTTTTTTTTTAAAGAGAATGAGTTTCAGTCTCTCATTTTATTTTTGAAGATTTATTTATTTGAAAGGCAGAGTGATAGCGAGACATCTTCCATCCACTGGATTACTCCCCAAAAGGTCACAACTGCTGGGGTCAAAACATCTGGGGTTGACCCAGGCCAAAGCCAGGAGCCCGGGACTCCATCCGGGTCCTCCTCATGGGTGGCAGGGCCCTACTTGGGCTGTCTTCCACCGCCTGCCCAGATGCATCAGTGGGAGCTGGATCAGAAGCAGCCAGCCAGGACTTGCACCGGCTCTCCGATGTAGGACGCCGGCTCAACCCCCGCACCACAAAACGCCAGCCCCACGGAATCGCTTTCTGGGCCTGGTCTTGGGGTGCGGCAATTCGATAGCACGGGGACTGTGCTGTCCTGGCTCTCTGGGAGGGGTGGTCACCCATGACCCCACCCCAAGGGAGCCTACTCTGTGTAAGGAGGGCGCTGCTAAAGCAGCTCCAACTCGGGCTGAAGAGTCAGACGTCCGGGTCCGCGGCCCTTCTGTGCTGCTCTGGGTACACCGTGTGCTGCGCCGGGCGGTTTCCTGCGGCACCGCGGCTCACCACGACCCAGGGACGGCGCTGTCATCGCTGCTTGCGGGGCTGAGGCCTCGAGCCCATCCTGTCCACAGGGACTGACGGTGGCGGAAGGCGCGGCACCGCTGTGGGGGAGGACGGCGCGAGGCCCCACCCGGGTGTGTGTGGGGATTGACGGCACAAGGCCCTGCCCGGTGTGCATGGGGATTGATGGCGCAAGGCCCCGTGTGGCGACAGGGCACAGGCTGGGAGGCCCTGCAGCACCGGGAGGAGCTGGCCACCCTCAGACGGCCCCCAGCTGAGAAACTGCGGTGCGACAAAGACGACGCATGGAACCTCGCTGTGACCAGAGGCCACCCCAGTCCCAGTCATGGCCCCTGGGGACCTCCCCCAAGCATCCTGGGGACAGACGCCTGCCCACAAGTCCCATCTCCACATGAACTCTCCACTTCCCCTGCTGCCCTGCCCCGCCGCCTCTTGCGCAGGCCCTGCCCACCCTGCAGCCACAGGGCTTTTGCACAAGCTGTCTCAGCCCGGAGCTCTCCTCCCTGCAGATCTGCAGCCCGGCAGAAGCACCCCTCTTTTGAGGCAAGCCTTCCCAGCACCCCCGCCTCACGGCACAGCCCCATCCCCACCCTAAGGACCTCCAACACCCCCTCAGGCCACGCCACGGCGCCCCATTCCTCACATCAGCTGGGGTCTGTGGGCGGTAACGAGCCTCTAAGACCGAGGAACTCTTCCAGCTGCTCCCCCAGGATCCTGCTCCCTAAGCGTTTGTTGAGTGAATTCTCCTGGCGGCACCTAACCAACAGACCTAACCACTCCTTCTGCTACCACAAGCGAAGACAGGAAACCTTTCTAACCAGATCACACACGACAGGCTCCTTGGATGAGGACCCCAACCGGCACGGCGCTGGCCACCCTGGTCCCAGCAGTGACCAGGTTCTAGGGGTACGACGCTTGGCCACCCTGGTCCCAGCAGTGACCAGCTGCTGGAGGCATGGCACACCTCAGGGCTGGGTGCCACCCTCCCCAGCCACCCATGGGAACCATGAAGAGGATTCGTCAGGAGCTGGGTGCCTGGGACAGTGTGGGTGGTGACAGGAGACAGAGACCACCAGCGCCTCCCGCTGTGGGTGGAGGAGGGCCTAGCGCTGAACTAGCCGCACTGCTGAGACTTCCCTGACGCAGCGACGCCCCCACACGTGACCTTCCTGCAGCCAACACCGGGGCCAGCGCCCTTCCCCAACGGATAACGGTTCGAGCAAGTCTGGCAGTGGTGCAGCCACCGCTGACCGGGCTCGCACAGGTGAGGCCAGAGCAAGGCTGACCTCATGCGGTCCCAGGGGCACTGGGGGGCGCTGCCCTCCTCTCTTACAGCAAAGCCCACCGCCCTAAACCCTCACACGGGCCTCCCTGGCCCACGTGCTCGGGTTGCCAAGGAGATGGCAGCGTGGGACAGCAGTCCCACTCGAGTTCTGACCCGTCTTTCCATGGGAGGGGAGGAAGACCCCACTCCCCCATCAGGCAGCGGGCAGCAGAGACACCTGAAGCCAGAAGTGACCAGTGAATCCCCCGGCTGGCGGTGGCGGCGGTGGCGGCGATGGAGGGAGGGTGGCGCTCAGCCCGCCTCTCTTTGAAGGACGCCCGGTCGGTCGGGCCACCTGCTTTGAGCGGGGTTAGGAGGTGGGCTGTGTGGGGAGGCAGGAGAGGGATTTGCTTTTCATAGCCTGTTGCCATGGTGCCTGACAGTCCTTGGCAAAGCACAGCTGGGGAAGTCGTGGGCAGCCAGGGGGCCCTCGGGCCTTATCTAGCCTGGGCCACCCTCCAAGGCCCCAGGAGTGACAGGCCACAGGCAGACGGCCAGGGCCAGGGCCTCTCCCTCACCGGGGAGGGGGAAGGGAGGCCAGTGAGGCAGCAGACAAAGGGCAGAGCGGAGAGCACCACCCAGGAGTCCCGGGCTGCAGCAAGGTCCCTCCCCCGATCAGAGCTAAGGGGCTCATTGGTCCGCACTTGGAGGAAGTCAACCACAGCGGGGCGAATTCGGGTGCGTCCAGGTGGGCGGAGGGCGGGGGGCGGTGCCTTACCTGCTCCTGTGAGTTCATCACACGCAGCTTCATCTGCTTCAGGTACGTGGAGGTGAGGGGCATGTTGTAGTCGATGATCCCGGACACCAGAGGAGACGGGGGCTCGCTTTCTGGCGGGGGGAACAAAAGGAGACCCCTTTCAGTGCGCACCGAGCCTGCTCAGGAGGAAGCCCCCACAGGGAAGGGACTGCCCGCGGCCCCTCCACGGGTTGGACAGAGATGCTTTCCGGTTAGGTGCCCATGTTCAAGAGAACACCCGAGCTGGCAACCACGCGCACTGGCTGAAGCAGTCACCGGGACACCCACGTCGCCCAGGACGCCCGGGCCAAGCCCTGCACTTCTCATTCCTGCAGGTGCACAGATGCACACCCTGGGAGGCAGCAGTGATGCTCCTGTACTTGAGTCCCTGCCACCCACGAGGGAGACCTGAATGGAATTCCAGGCTCCTGGCTTCCGCCTAGCCCAGCCCCAGCCCTTACGGGCATCTGGGGGAGTGAACTAGCAAAGAAAACAGCTCCTCTCTTTCAAATAAGTAAAACAAAGGCTTTTAAAATATATGAATTTTGTGCTCCTTTGAAACAGTGGATGGGCTGGCCCCACGGGGCCCCCCTGCCAATGGTACACAGCCACTGTGGCTTTCTCACATGGCTGTGTGCTGTTTGCCACAGTCCCTGGGTCGCTCCCCAAATGCCTGCACCGGCTGGGCGCAAGGCCTGGAGCCCTGGGAACTCAATCCAGGTCTCCCACGAGGAATCTACTCCCTCCAGCCACTGCCGCTGCCTCCTAGGGTCTGCATTAGCAGGAAGTTGGAGTCAGCAGCCAAGCTTGGCAAGCCAAGGCCCTCCCCACACTCCTGCCCACGCCCAAACGGCTCAGCTTTGCTCAGTTAGGATGCCTGCCAGACCCTTGAAGGTATCTCAGCTTCCAAACCCGGTGTACGTCAGCCACCTTCCTGGGGAACGTGTGCTGCCCCCCGACTCCAGGCCCCCTCCCAGGCCCAGCCAGGCCTCCAGCACCCCCTCCCTAAATTCCGGTTTCTCCTTAATGACATTCAGAGGAGCACCGGTGCCTCCATTTATTGCTTTGTTGTCCTGGAGATCAAAGGAACGAATGTTCTTTTTGTAGAGCACTTGCAAAGTGCGGAAAGATGTAAAGACAAATTTTAAAAGCCATAATTGCACCAAGAAGCTTGGCATATGCTTCTGTTTATTTTTTCCCTATGATTTTCTTCTTTACATACTTGATAGCACGATGCATACAGAGAATTACAGTCTGCTCTAATACGGGGGGCCGGGGTGGCTTCATGTTTTGTCATAGGCATTTTCCCCTCCATCACAAATCCTGTATAGTGGGGCTGGCCTCGTGGTGCAGTGGGGTAAGCCACCACTTGGGGCACCTGCAGCCCAGGTGGGAGGGAGGCCTGCTCCGCGTGCGGTCCACTTCCCTGCTAATGCACCTGCAAAGCTGATGGGGGCCCAAGCACTTGGAGCTCCTGGCTCCCGACTTCAGCCTGGCCCATCCTCCACTGCTTCGGGCATTTGGGGAATGAACTGGCCGATGGAAGATCTCTCCTCTCTCTCCCCGTCACTCTACTTCTCAAAAATAAAGTCTTGAAGAAATCTTGTTTTGCTTTGTGAATGTCATTTGTATAGCCATGTACCATTTTACCAGAATTGACTAGATTGGCTATTTATGTTGTTTCCTATCAGGGCTATTATAAACAACACTACAGGGAACATCTCTGTGCATGAATCTTGGTCTGCCCTTCTGATCTTTTCTTATTTAGAACAGATTCCAAGAAATGGAATTCAGAGCCTGGAAGATAGGAATATTTGATGAACTCTTGGAAGCTCTGGCCCCGCTGCCCAGGCAACCAATCTCCATGACCCAACCTCCGGCCTCCTCCTGCAAGGGCTCCAGGCCACGTTCATTCCACGCCCGGCCTTTGATCCAGGGGTCACCCTGGTACACAGATCTGTTGATGGACTGGGACAGGAGCAGAAGTGTGGGCCACTCCCCGACTAGCCAACGGTGAGGGACAGGGCCAAGGAAGCGGAAACGCAGGGGACATCTGAGGATGGCTTTGCTATTCCTGCCCCTCCAGACCCAGAGCACCACTGGTATGAAGCCTCTAGATGGGTGCGTTCCTAGCACCAGGAAGCAGAGCAGAGATTACTGGGGGCTGGGGGTGCGAGATGGGAACGGGAAGTGGCTGCTTGGTGAGCACAGAGCCTCTGTCTGGGCCGAGGGAGACCTCTGGGACTACACAGTGGTGATGGTTGCTCAACAGTGAGGATCAGTGTCCTGGAAACGGTGCCACAGACATTACAAAAATGGCGACTTTCATGTTCTAAATATTTTACTGCAAATAAAATCGTTGGAGCCGGCACTATGGTGTAGTGGGTAAAGCCACTGCCTGGGACGCCAGCATCCCATATGGGCGCCGGTTCGAGTCCTGGTTGCTCCACTTCTGATCCAGCTCCCTGCTATGGCCTGGGAAAGCAGTGGCACACGGCCCAGGTCCTTGGGCCCCTGCACCGGCGTGGGAGACTCAGAGGAAGCTCCTGGCTCCTGGCTTCGGTTTGGCCATTGCACTCATCTGGGGAGTGAACCAGCAGACGGAAGACCTCTCATCCTCTCTCTCTCTGTAACTTCGACTTTCAAAGAAACAAACAAAATCTTAAAAAAGAAAAAGCATCTGCGAACCAAGGGGCAACCCAGAGAGGGCGGGGCGGCTCTGCCCCCTGCCCAGCAAGGCAAACAGCGCTGCGTGCCCTCTCCTCAGTGCCCGCCGAGACTGGATGTCTTGAGCCCCAGGGGGCCGTTAGGCCACGGCCCCCAGCATCGGGCCAGCTTGGGTCAGCGTCTGCCAGATGGTCCCGTGAGTCCGTGGCGATGGTGCCGCAGTGCGGAGTGCAGTTCCTGTTTTCAGACCAAGAGTTCTGCCGCTTCTGTTCTGCTTCCTCAGAGACGAGCTTGTCCGACAACGAGGCACGGGCCGGCCCCTCCCCGCGGGGGTGCGATGGTGACACGCGCTGGGCAGCCCGTGCAGTGGGAGCCCCGAGTCCTTTTGCTGACGGTCAGCAGTATCCTGCTCAGGAGAAGGTATCGCTGATAAAACCGGGTGCAGCTGAAGCAGCCCCTGGCAGGCGGGAGAAAGGGTTTTCCTTGGTTGGTTCTTTCGCCAGCAGCGCCATCGAAGGGCCCACAGGTGTGCCAGGTGAGCACAGGAAACATGGGGCAGTTATTGGCGGGGCACCCGCCCCACGGGAGTGGAGCCGGAGGACGGGGCTCGCTGTGCGGCGGGCAGGACGGTCGGGCAGGCCTTGGACGGTGGGAGCCGCTCTGCCCACTGTGTTCTGGATAGAAGTGGGCTCACATCCAGAGGGCCGGCTTCGCAGGGTCCTCGGAGGAGGGGCTCATGGGGGAGACAAATACCAGGATAGGGCGTGCCGAGGTGCAAGCAGGGACAAGTAAGAGAGGGATTCCCGGGGCTCTGCTGAGATGAGCCAGGCCCCTACATGGTGGCCTCACTGCCACCAGGGGGCAAGGGGCCAGCCCGGAGCCAGCAGGCTGCAGAGCAGGTGCTCGGGAATCGTCTCAGCACCGCCCTGCCAAGAAAAGCCGAGCCAGGCTGGGCTCTAGACCCGGCTGTGCGTGGCCTTGGCAACCATCGATACTGTGCTGGTTTCACCTGAGCCAGGCCAAACGCCGGCACCCATGGCACCCACCCATCAGCACACGTTTCAGCGCAGGCAGAGCCCACCGCGTCTCCGGGTGGGTCCGAGGGCGGCCGTTCTCCTTTACAGCCCTGGGGTCCACAGACTGGGGTGGGGGTTCAGACTTGGGGGCCGGCTCAAGAGGTAGTAAACTCGCCTTTTGGGGAAGTGAATCAGTGGCCGGCACGTGAGCATTCGGGGTGGGGCGGATGGGGAGACCGCGAGTGACACAGGCTCAGGAAGCGAGACGGAGAAGCAGCAGGGAGTCCCTCGGAGCCCACAGGAGCGGCCAGGAGCTCAGAGAGCTGCGTGCCAAGCACGTGAACACGGCTCACGCTCACTCCGTCAGCTGATGGTTCCTGAGCTGAACCCCATGAGGGGGTGCTGGATGAACGAACACCCCCCACTTTACAGAGGTGGCGACAGTGCACAGAGAGGCCATGCAACCTTCCCATAGTCACACAGCAAGAATGGGAGCTGGGAGAGGACAGGCCAGGCGAGGCTGGGGTGGGACCAAGTCGGGGAAGGGCAGGAAACCACGGAGCGGTCTGGGCGCCACATGAGTGGACCACTCGTTCGCGGAGGAAGGGTGACAGTGTTGCTGCCCATTGCCAGCAACGCTTGTTAAAGCAGACGGGGCAGAAGCGAGCCCCCGGAGGCCTCCCCCACCCTCCAGGAGCTGGGGCTGCGCGGAGGCCACACCCTGCCCTCCTGCTCTGTCCCTGCTCTGGCCTAGGTTCGCTCCAGCTGGTGGAAGAGCAGCGTGGAGCTGGGAGGCCCTGGACTTTCCCATCGCCGGACTTCCCGATCCTTCCCGATCCTCGCAGCCTCCTTTGTTTGTGCTGCTGGCGCTGGGGGCGGGGAGGGGGGCAGGGGCTGTCCAGGCCCCCAGGCTCTGCCGGGGACAAACCGCTGAGCCAGGAGGCCGCTCTGCTTCCTTCCTTTCTTTTTAACCAGAGGCCAGGAAGCAAGGCGGCCTCCCAGCAGAGCCTCAAGAAGTCTCCATCCTGTCCCCTGCCCCCCCTTCCTGGGACAGGAACACTGGGCCTGCCTCCGGGGCCAGGGACGGGCTCCGATTTCCCAGCAGGCAGGGCTGGCGCGGCAGGGGTGCCTGTGACAGAGCCCGCAGCTGACCGCATCCAGAGAGGCCAGCAGGGCATGCCGAGATAGGATCTGCAGGCTCTGGGCTGGGGCAGGAGGAGGGGCAGCCCGCCAGCTGGCAAGGGCCGTCCAGGAGGCTAGCGCCTCTGGCCACTTGGCAGACTCGGCCAGGCAGGGCGGGGCGGGGCGGGGGTAGGATGGGGGGTGTTGCAAGCTCTGCAGCTCTGCCCTGGCTGCAGAGGGACCAGACCCTCCCCTCTGACCCCATGGGTTCACCTGGGGGTGGTGTGGGGGTGCGGTGCACTGCTGACCCTACCTTGGCAGTGTGTGTCTTTGTGGGGCCACCTGGACACAGGCAGTCCGGCGTGCAGGCCCGGGAGGGGGTCAGGCTGACATTCCCCAGGCAGCCCCGTGTGCCAGGTGCCCTACATAACAGGCTCATTTAATTCGGCTGCCCCGAGAGGAGGGCGGGGCTTCCATCTCGCTGATGAGCAACTAAGTTTGCTGCTCCCACTGCTTCCTCCCCAGAGAACCCGGGTGTGTGATTTCAGCTCAGACCTCCCCGAGCCTCGGTTTCCTTGCTGTGAACCTGGACTCACAGCTCACAGAGCTGCAGGCTGTTAGGAGCTGCACGTGCTCAGAGCGGCTTCCTATGCTGCCGAGGACACACAGCTGGGAACATGGCCGGACACCCAGGCCTCCCTGACCCCAACCCCCTGGCTCCTGCTCTCCCCTCCCTGCAATGAAAAGGAGCGAGAGGCCGGCGCTGTGGCGCAGTGGGTTAACCTGCCGCCTGCAACATCGGCATCCCACATGGGTGCCGGTTCTAATCCCGGCTGCTCTATTTCTGATCCAGCTCTCTGCTACGGCCTGGGAAAGCAATGGAGGATGACCCGAGTGCTTGGGTCCCTGCATCTACATGGGAGACCCGGAATAAGCTCCTGGCTTTGGATCAGCCCAGCTCTGGCCATTGCGGCCATCTGGGGAGTGAACCAACGGATGGAAGACCTCTCTCTTTGTCTCTCCATCTCTCTCTGGAACTCTGCCTTTCACATGCATAAACAAACCTTTAAAAAGAAAAGAAAAGGACCAGCCCCGGGGACAGAGGACCAGGGTTGCCCTGCGGATGGGCACGGATGGGCACGGTGCCGGTCTCCTGTGCTGCCCGAGGCGAGTGGGAGGGACAGGCCCCAGCACAGAGCCCCCGTAGCTGGTTTATATTCTAAGCAGCTCCCAGCCTGTGTGCTCCCTCCTCCTCCACCCTCCTCCCTGAGGGAGGGCACGGTGGTGGCAGTCAGCGAGGAGAGCAGGAGAGGGAGCCGCTGCTGTGCTGGCATCCGCCCCTCCTGGCCAGACGAAGCCACAGCCGAGGAGGAAGGGAGCCCGCAGCCCTGGGAGACCCCAGGGCCTTCAGTGAGGAGCTGGGAGAGGTGAAGGCGGGGTGGGGGCGGGGGTGGGGGTGTCGGCACAGCGGATGCAGCCTGCCGACGCCAGAGCAGTCCGCACGTGCGGTCCCTCTCAGCCTCGCCTCTGCTCCTCCAGGCCAGCCGTTCTGAGGCTGACTCCGCCAGTTGCTATGGAAACAATTAGGCCAGGCGGTGGGTAGGAACCAGGCAGCTACAGTTACCAGCAGGGCACGTGCCCTTGGGGCCTAGACCCCAGCAGGGTGGGGAGTGTGGCAGGGAGAGTCCTCCGGGCCCACCTGCAGGTGCCACAGGAGCTGCAGCCGCTCAGCCCGTGTCCGGCCACGTGGGGCACATCCCCGAGGGACTCAGTTACCACAGTAACTGCAGCAGCACGGCTCACTCGTCCTGCAGTGGGGGTGGGGTGGGGGGGTGCCTGGGCCAGGTGCACAGACCGTCAGATCTCAGCCCACTGAGGGAGGCACCAGAGATGAGGACGCTGAGGCTCAGGGAGACACAGAGCAGTTGAGTGGCCAACCAAAGCCACACAGCCCAGGCCTGGAGCCCTGCTTTTAGCCCTGGCACCAGCATGATGAGGATTAACCAGCTGCATCCCTGTCGCTTGAGGTGTAGGAGCTCTCCCGTGTGCTCCTACCAAGCGGCCGTGGCTAGCGGCTCCCAGGAGCACAGTGCCCCTGGCTCTGGGGAGCCAGCATCATCAGAAGTCGATCTCCTGTGGCCCGGGGACTCGGCCTGACGCCTGTGCGCCGATGTCCTTCTTATCGGCTCGGGCTTTGCTGTTGATTTTTCCTTCCCCGAAGTCAGCGGATGCCACCCGCACGCCGCCCAGAGAGGCATCTCACCCATCATTCCGAGTCTGGTCGCATCCTCAGGCCAACGTCTACTGACCGGGCGGCAGGAGCCGGGCCGAGGTGCTGGGGGCGCTGGGGCCCCGCTTCTCAGGTGGAGCTGTGACCAGAGCAGCCAAACGTGCTGGCCTGATTCCCCGTGCCAGAGCCACCTGCGAGCATATGGGGGTCCCCCGACTCACAGCGGGCGGAGCCACAGTGGGGTCCTCACTGCTCTCAGTGGGTAGGACAGAGCTGGCGAGCACACACAATGGTCCAAGGAGGGACCGACTTTGGTTCATGAGTACTCTGGGCATCTAAGATGCCGATGCATCCCCGGCTCCCACAGATCAGACAGTGCAGCCTGCACAGGTGCGGGGCCTCCGTGGACAGGTGCAGACTATGGGGCAGAAAGACAGCGTGCCAAGGGGTGTGCGTCTGTTCTCAGAGAGCAGAAGGCCACACCCACACACGACTCCCAGCATGGGGTGGGGCAGCAGTGCCCTGTGGGAACCCTGGTGGGAGGAGCGGCCCTGCCAGGGCGGGAGGGATGGGTTGCTTGGTTTTTAAGGGAAACTTGTTAACACCCGGAAAACGAGGCTGTCCAGGCCATGCACAGGCCCACGGCGGTCTCTGGGAATGGCGACCACTGCGGCCGGGGCAAGGGGTGGGCTGTGTCGCGGACGCCACCTCTCCTACCTTTGGGTTCCAGGCCGTTGGAATTAAAGTGCATCCTCTTCTGACACTCGGTGCAGCTCATCAGGAACCGGGTCACGGCCTCTCTTGGGAGGAAGGCGTAGGTCTCCGCAATCTGGGGAGGCAGGATGTTTGCTTGTTATGAGGTCGGGGCTGGCGGGGCAGCGGGGCAACGGGGCCGCGGGGTCACCGAGGTCTGTGTGTGGGTGACAGGTGCTGTGACCCGTGCCAGGGAAGGCAGGGAGCTGAGGAGCCGGGGGCAGGTGTCCCCGGGGCTGGCTGCAAAGGTGAGTGCATGTTTGCAGAAAACTGTTTGAAAACGTTGACTAACGGGGGATGAAATTGGCAGAGCGAAGCGTTCGAATGCTGCCTGGCCTTTAACCTGGGCTCTACCGCGTGGTACCGCTCTCTGCACACTCCACTGCTGCCACTGAGGCATGAGCTTGTTCCGAGGCTCAAGGGTGGGGACGGACAGCTTCCCTCTTAAAGAGCGACAGACTGGGACCCGCTGATGAATGCCCTGGCTCCGAGCCCACACACAGCACTGAGGTTGTCCTCCCACAAGCCACTGCCTGCGATGGCCCACAGACCAGCGCCCTCCCAGGCACAGCGGCCGAAGGCTAGTGCCAGGGCACCTGAGCTTCCAGGCTCTCAGGGGACGGAGGCCCAGCGGCCAAGGGAATCACTCACGGTCACCTGGCCCTTGTGTCAGGTCAAAACCCGGGCCCAGGGCCCTCGGAGAGCCTCTCCCAGCAGGGCAGAGGGGGGACGGGGTGGGGAGAGAAGGAGAAGTAGGGGCAGCAGTCAGGCCCTCTCTTCCTGTTCTCGGTTTGGCCTGCGGGGTTCCCCGGGTTTTTCCCACAGGCTTCCGGGAGCCCCGCGCCTCCCGCTCCTCTCCACTAAGGGGCAGCATCACCCAAGAGTTCTGCTGTCCTCCGCCCTCGCTGGGAAAGTTGGCGAGGCCGGAGGGGGCTGCTGGCCAGCGCTGGGCCCCGCCTCCGCCCCGGGGACAGTACACTGCCTGCTCCACCTGCGAGGGCTGTGGGCTGCGGGGCAGAGGCCCAGGGTGCTCCCGGCAGGCACCACTCCCAGCCCAGTCTGCCTGCGGCCTCCCAGGGGCCGTTCCCGCAGAGTTAATTTTGGGGACACGACTGTTACTTCTCAGGCACGCTCCTTGATGAGCTGTCTCCCAGCTGGAGCCGCAGATGGGGAGGGGGGTGACAGCCAGGGGTGCAGCTGGGCTGCCTTGGGTGTTAGGGCTCAAGGACAGGCCTGCCACACACATGGATGAGGCCATCCCTAGCCCAGAGCTGCCTGGAGTCAGGGCTCTTGGCCGGGGAGGAACGGGCCCAGCTGAAGGGCCGAGGGCTGCAGAGCCCACCGGCCAGGGGGAGCAGCCCTGGTGGCACAGCGCATGGCTGAGTCTGCCTTGGCGCACGGATGACCCTCGGGGTCCCCATGTCGGGCCACAGACGGGCAGGGCAGAGGACTGGGGGAGAACAGGGATGGGTCCGCACGGTGGAAGCAGCCGCCTGTAGACGCAGATCTGCTCCGTGCGTGGCACTGGGTTCAGGGAGGGCCTCCTGCCCCGCAGAAGGCTGTACATGGGCCAGGCAGGGGCCCTTCCTGCCACCTGGCCCGTGGAGGACACAGGGACGGAGTGGTAGCCACATCTCTCCCAGCCTTGCAGGGACCATGGCTGGCTGCAGAGGGAGGAGGCTGCGGATGGGTCCCCGGAGGAGTGCACCAAAGCCTGGACAGTGAGACGCCCTGGGGCCCAGCCCTGCTGCAGGGACTTCTGCCCCCACCCCCACCCCGGCCCCCTGCAGGCATCCTTCGGTTTGCCCTCCTGGCTTGCCCAGGATCAGAAAGGGGCCTCTATTTCCGTCCGGTGTCCGGGTGCCTCAAGTCACAGAACTGCAAGATGAGTGGGGACCAGGAGGGAAAGCCTAGCTTTGGGGTGGAGGGAGAGCCACAGGCCCTGTTCTAGAAACGGATTCTGAGCCTCACCAAGGTGGAGGTGCTGGGTGTAAGAGGGGGAAGGTCCGGCACCCGGGCCGCCTGCTGCCTCTCCCAGGCCCCCTGCACGCTGAGACCCGGCACTGAACTTGCTCCTCAAGTTCTTCCTAGAGGTGGGAGCCAGGAGAGAGCTCACCAGCAGGGAGGGCGGGAGCCACATGCTGTGTCGCCGACTCCCAACGCCCCTGTCCCCTTCCCAGCTCAGAGGCAAAGACGAGGCCACTGGTCCCCCTTCACCCTGTGGGTGGATTAGTGGGGTGGGGGGCTGCAGAGCAGCTGCTGACCACATCTGGCCCCAGCTCCTCAGTGGCCTGGGCGGCCAGATCTGGACTCCCCGTGCTCCAGGCAAGCGAAGGGAGGCAAAAGCCGTGGCTGCGACCCAGACAGGTGTGGACGCCAGGCAAGCAGGAGAGCCCCTTGAGCAAAGGAGCCGCCCTCGCGGTGAGTTCGGGAAATTTAGCAGCACCACGGGGCACTTTCCTCAGACCCCCCAGGATCCACGGGACCTCGGGTCACACGGCAGCAGAGGCCAGTAAGGCAGGGGCTTTCTGCTCAAGACGGGAAACAATCGCCCTCCCTCCAGCTTTGTTGGACGTAAGTGGCCGGTGGCCCCAGGCGCAGAAAGCGCCCCACCTGCTGTCTCTGACCAGCGCAGGACGGCGGGAGAAGCTAGAAAGTTCCTTTGCCCACGGAAGACTCCTCCTCCTCCGGCGTCCCCTGCCAAGTGCCCCCCATCTTCCCACCTTCCTACTGCCTAAGGCCTGCCCTGTGCCCCACAGGCTGTGCGGCCGGCCCAGGACTCAGCTTCGGCAAACACACGAGGGCAGATCCCAGGACTCCGTGGCAAGGGCTTGGCACAACTGCACGGTGCCAGGCCGGGCCTCTCTGCAGCCTCTGGCACGGGGTTTCCTCGGGGGCCCTTTCCGCAAGCACTGGGCGGGGGGCACAATGGGGCTCGTGTCTGTGCAGTGACGCTGAAGGGCTAGGCTTGGGTCAAGGACCACGGCAGCAGATGAAAAGAGGGGGACAAAAGCATCCAGGCACCACCCCACCCCCCAAAAAGGAACAGGGTGGCATGAGAAGAGCGACAGATGGGGAGGGGGAGGGGGAGGGGCAGGGGGAGGGAGGCGCGTGGGCCTCAGCCTCACGCCCGCTGCGGGAGGGCCCTGGCCTGCTCAGCTTGGCCTTGGCCCTGCCGCTGAAATTCCAGCTCTGCACAGCCTGGCTGGCTCCATGCCAGTCATGTGCCAGCTCCAGGCTAGGCGGCAGGAAGTGGGGCACGCGGTGAGCGTATGGACAAAAAGCCAGGAAGTGCAGAGCCAAGGGCTGATGTCCACCGGGCTGGAGCAGCCCAGCCCTGCCCTCCTCGGCGCACGGAGACCCCAAGCCCTAGGGCGTGCTCGTGGCTGAGGCCCCATGCTGGGCGCTAAGGGGGCCAGGGAGACCACCTGCCTGGACAACACCAAGTCGCCGGGGTGGAGCGAGGCAGAGCCTGGGGCTGTGGCCTGGCTGCGTGTGACCCTGGCAGGTTTCCCATCTCTCAGCTTACAATGGCCGTGGCAACAGTGCTGGCCTCACACACGAAACCTTGGGGCGCATGGAGCTGGTGCGTGGGCAGTGCCGAGGGCAGAGGCCGGCGTGTGCTAGGTGCCCAGATCAATGCCAAGGTTAATGCTGAGAAAACGTGCAGGGGTCTCCTCAACACCAAGGGGCCTCCATGGGCCCCAGCCTGGGTACCCCTCCCTTCTTCTCGGACCCTGGGGTGTAAAAGCCCTCACAACTCCCTCCCCACAGGTCGCTTCCTGAGGGACACATGTGGCAAAGCAGGGGGTGCGTGTGGAATCACCCCCATGCTCCCGTGGCCCAGTTCCCTGCCTCCCTGAGGCCTGGGGCACAATGGGGGGCGGGGTGCATCCTGAAGACCCGATGAGGGCCAAGGCTATCTTCCGAGAACAGGGGACAGTCAGGCCGCTGGGTTCTTAAAACATCAGGCCATGTGGGGGAAGTACAGACCACACCGACACCGCTGCCGCGGGCTGAAGCTGCTTAGACAAAGCACTCGATGGGGGGGGGGCTCCCAGCGGCATGGAGGGGGCCCTGCGACACTGGCTGGCTGCCACCCAGCTGCTGCGTGTTCTCAGACAGGCTGCTCCTTCTCTGGGTCTCAGTTTCCCCGAGTGTGAACCAGGACCATCAACACCAAGAGCTTGGCCTGGCCGGCTGAGCGGTAGGAACCGGACCAATGGCTCAGAGCTGTGCCCGAGCCCTGGTGAGGGACTCAGACATGGGGTCAACAGGGGGACAGGATGGGAACACAGCAGGCCCTTCCTGCAGGGGACAGCGGGGGCCTCTGCTCTGGCCACAGTCCCCACAACTGCCACTTCCCACATCTGTGACATTTGCCATGCCTGAGTGGCTGTCTCTGCTCCCTCCTGCCTACCCACGCTCAGCTTCCATGCCACCTCCTCCATGGAGCCCGCGGGGCTTAGCACTGTGTCTCCGTGGCTGGAGGTGCCTTTGCAGAGCGCCTGGGCAGCCAGGCTCCTGCTCTCTCTGGAAGCTGGCCTTGGGAACACTTCTGCTTCTCCTGCATCTCGCTTTTGCTCTCAGCCTCCCCAGCCCACATCCCTCTGTGATCTCCTCGTGGGGTGTGGGGGAGGTCCCCAGACTTCCCCCCTCCCCCAGGGAACTCCTAGTGCTGACGTCACAGGGCTGAGCTAGCCGCCAGGAGCAGTTAGGACAGGCCTGGTGCTGGCAAATACCAAGCCATTTGCTGTTGATGATTGACTATGGGTCTCCTGCCTGCATTGCACCCCTCCCCCCAGGCAGGTGTAAGGGCCCCCAGGAAGAGGAGCGAGCAGAGCCGGCCCACCAGCCCCCATCTTCTCCCCTCCTCTCACGCCCTCAACCTTCTCCTCTTCTCTCTGCTCAGCCCACAGAGCCCGCCCTGGCCCAGGAGCCGCCTCCAGCTGCCCGTGTCCTTGCCCCATGCTCTGCTCTGGGATCCCTGAAGGCTGCTTCCTCAAGCCCCCACCCACCCACCCACCCGCCAAGTGCAGAGCCCGCGGCCTCCTGCCAAGGCCGGGACCACGTGCAGAGGCGGAGACGGGAGGCGCTCACCGCTCGGTAGGTTTTCTTCTGCCCGGCGTGCTTGGGGGCTTTGCCTGGCTCAGCTGAGCTCTCCACATGCATAGAGTAGATGATGTCAAAGAAATCTTCCACCACAGCGACCCGCTTCAGAGAGATGCCCTCGGGCTCCGACAGGCCATCTGCCCCCTGCGACAGGGGGACAAGCTGTGTTAGTGTCAGGGCTCACGGTGGGGTGAGCGGGGTGGGAGTGGGGGGGCCGAGGCCCCGAGGTCAGGGGGGGCAGGGATGGGCGCTGCTCCCTGACCCCCTGTCGCCTCCTCCCAGGGTGGGGGTGGGGGCGGGGTGGGGTGGGGTCCCAGAATCAGGGTGGCTGCTACGAAATGTACCAGCAACAATGGGCAGAGAACGGCGACGACACAAATACAAATTAAAGAGCCAAGAGGCTCCATGTTCACGATTTCAGACAGATTGTGCCAGACTTGGGCGGGCGGGGGCTCTCAAATCACACGCTGTGCCAAGCCCGTCCCGGACGTCTCTGGGGAGGGGAGTGCTAAGTAGATGCGGCCCCGTCACGAGCCTGCCAATTAGCAGTAACCTTTCACTGTGGGCCTGGGCCGGGGTCCCTGGGGACCGGCTCCCATCACCTGGGTGACTCCTGCCTCCGCCCCTGGCCTTTCTAGCAAGCTTTTCACCACCGCCCGCCCTCCCCACCCTGGCAGCTGAGCGCAGCGCCAGCGCCCGGGCTCTTTGTGTGGGGACATGTGCGGGATGGCAGGCCGGAGGTCACGTGGAGGTGGCCTGTGAGGTGTGCCAGGATCGAGACGGGGTCCTCTGTCGCTAACAGCTGCAGGGCTGGCACCTGCCCTCCCCCACCGGCAGAGGAGGGAGGGTGGGGCAGAGGCAGCGGGCGGGCGTGAGGCTGGGACGAGGCCGGCGTCCTCAGGAAATGAGTCAGGGATCTGATTCTCGGACCCAGGACACCTCGGCCATCACTGCCCTCAGGAGGGACCGGGAGGGCCCCAGGGGGTGTCCGAGATCAGCAGAAAGCAGTGCACCGGGGATTTGGGGAAAACGAGGCAGGCTTTTCTCTAAAAGTGCCTCCAAGACCACTCCTCCTCACGGGGACCCTCACACAAGACCGTCGGCTTCTGGGCCGAGCCTGGGCTCACAGCTGTCCCTCTGGCACTGAGAACGCCGCTCAGGAAGTGACCGCCGGCCGGCGACTGGCTACGGGTGCAGCCCCTGAGCACCGCGCTCGCGCTCGGGTGGCTGTGGGACCCGGGGCAGTTGTTTTGCTTCTCGGGGCTTCAGGATCCTCATCCATAAACTGGGAATTCCAGAAGCACCTTTCCTATCAGTGAAGCGATGATTTCTCGTGCAGCTCTTGCACCCAGCTTGGCGCGGGGACCGCCTGGCTGTTGCTATCAGGCAGAAGTGCTCTGAGGCCGGACGGCGTGGAGCGGTTGGGTTAAATGGCTGCTTGGGACACCCGCGTTCCACATCAGAGTGCCGGTTCAAGTCCCAGCTACTCCACTTCTAATCCAGCTGCCTGTCAATGCACATCTGGCGCCCCAGCCTCCCATGTGGGTGACCTGGGTTGAGTTCTGGGCTCCTGGCTGTTGTGGGCATTTGGGGAGTGAACCAGTGGATGGAGGATCCTCCCACCCGACTCTCTCTTGCTCTTTCAAGTAGATGACATGTAAATATATAAAAAATTTAAAAAGTGCTTTGCAGTTTGCCATGTTCCCCCAGGCGTGACGGAGTTGGCCATGGCGATGGCCTGGAAGGTTGTGGGGTCAGGGCCTGGGCTGCGCTAGCCACAGCGAAGTGGCAGAGCTGGCCCAGGGCTTGGAGCAGACAGGCTGTGCTGTCATGGACGCTGGCTCCCAACATATCCTGGCCACAGACGGGCTTTGCTTCTCTCCAGCAGCTTTCCCGACATGCTGGGACTGGCACGCAGGGTTCTTTGTCAGGAGCTTACTAGAGAGCTGAGGCACGTGGGGGAGGAAGGGCAGGTGGGCATCTGGGATGAGGGGGACACAGAACCCCAGAGCGAGTGTGGGTGCAGACCTCAGAGCCCAGGCCCTCTTGCCAATGGCGTCCTTCCTGGTCAGAGCCCATTTCAACCGGGCGTCATTACGTGTCCATGTGTGGCCCTGTGTGTGTGTGTGTGTGTGTGTGTGGCAGGGGAAAGCCACCTCCTGGCCCTGCTTCCATGTGACCTTAGGGAAAATCTTCAACCTCCTTGAGCTGTAGATGTCTGCAGCCTTTCTGTTTTTAAACTCGTGGGGAGGCAGGAAGCAGGCATTTAGCACAGTGGCTACAGCACTGCTTGGGACGCCCGCATCCAGTATCAGAGTACGTGGGTTCGAGTCCTGGCTCTGCTTCTGATTCCAGCTTCCTCTGCTGTGCACTCTGGGAGGCAGCAGGTGAGGGCTCAAGGCCTTGGTCCCTGCCACCCACGTCCAGACCCGGACTGAGTTCTCAGCTCCTGGCTCTGGCCCCGCCCTGCCCTGCCCTGGCTGTTGCAGGCATATGGGGAGTACAGCAACAGACGGGAGATCTGTCTGTCTGGTTCTCTGCTTTCCAAATAATCTTTGAATCTTAAAGACCTCTCTTACGAGTTACTTTTTTAAAAAATAAAGATCTATTGATTTGAAAGCCAGTGTTACAGAGGAGAGGGAGAGACAGAGAGTGATCTTCCATCTGGTTCACTCCGCAAACGGCCACAGTGGCTGGGACTGGGTCAGGCCAAAGACAGGCGCATGGAACAGCATCCGGGTCTCCCACATGGGTGCAGGGGCCCAAGCGCTTGGGCCAGCCTCTGAAGCTTTCCCAGGCTCCTTAGCAGGGCGCTGGATCTGAAATAGAGCAGCCAGGACTTGAACCACCACTCACATGGAATGCCAGTGACTCAGGCAATGGCTTAACCCGCTATGCCGCAACGTCGGCCCCAGGAGTAGTTATTCTCTCTTTCTTGGGGGTATGCACCCCGGGAAGTCTGAGGGCATCTGGCCAGCCTTGCCAGTCGCTGCCTTGTTCCTTAGCTGACCTGGAGCTGCCCGGCAGGCTGAGGAGTCTCAGATGTTGCCAGGAGGGGACGGATGCTGTGAGAGGTCACTTCCAGGGCACTTGCAGCCAGAGGCTCCCCTGGGCGGCAGCGAACGGAGTGAGCCCGACGAGCGAGCCCGAGCCACGCTGGGTCTCTCTCTGGCCGGCTGGGTGGGAGTTGCACAGGTGTGCGGGGTTTACAATGAGTCTCCCGCCTGGACACTTACAGTCTGTGTACTTGACTGTGCATCCGTTCAACTGTGGTTTTGAAAGAGTGTTTCTTTGTAGAGAGAGTGGGAGGGGGGTCATCCCCCAGTGTCTGGATATTCTGAACCCAGGGGCGGCGCCACCGGTCGAGCTGCTCAGAAGCGAGCAAGACTTCCCTGCTCCCAGAGCTGTGTCAGGCCAGGACGCGGCTATTTCTGGGCGAGGAGACGGATCGCAGACAGGCAGGAGGGAGACTTTCCCGACCTGGTTCAGAGACCTCGGGCGGGTCCCACTTCGTGAAACCCGTGACACTCAGCTTCCCCACCGGTAAACGGGGCCTGACTGGTGCTGGTTGCATATTCCAAGGCTCAGGGAAGAAGCACTCTGGGGCCCCTGGCACACACAGGCTTGGAGAACCATCCTCTCTTCCCTTGAGACCGACTCAGTTGGACATTTTGTGTTCAGGAATCTACTGTCATCTCCCGTCCCTGGGAGCCATTCGGGTTATGACACGTCCCCCTCACCCCCACCCGACTGTGACATCCACCATCATAGGAGAGACGTGGCCTTATTTAACTCGGAAACGGTCCCACAAACCCAGGAGAAGCGTTCCGCAGCCTAGGGTAGCTACCCGGAACAGCCACCCACCGCCACTCCCGGGCAGTCTCCGGGAACACAGCAGCTCTGCCCCTGGTCTGATGTACTCAGAAAATTCTCCCCAGGGGCTCTCTGGGGGAGCGATCAGCAGCAGCTACCCCTTTAAGAACTGACTCTGATCTCTCCTGACGTTCAAACCCGGGTCCCGAGGTCCTCCTGTCTCCAGGGCAGAGATGTGCACGGGAGAAGACAGGCCCTGCCCCAAAGCAAGTGAGACTCACACACCACGCCAGGTCTGCGCCCGCACACCTCGACCCAGACGCGGCGCGTGCTGCACCCCACGGGAAGAGGACCAGATCTCCGTGCGGCCTTCCAGGAGAAGCCTGGGAAGACCTGACGCGTGCCACGCCCTGCATCCGCAGGGGTAAGAACCTGCAGGCCGGCCCAGAGGATCCAGACACAGTGCTGCTGCGAGGCGTGAGCTGCTGATTAGAGAGCAGCAGGCACCTTCCCCATGGCCTTGGGATGCCCCTGCCAGCCCACTTCTGCCTTCTACCCAAATTAGCCTCATCTAATCCACTGCTCCAAGCGAGCTGGGCATGGGCTGACAAAGGAAGTCACTTCATTAGAAGCTGGATTAAGAGGGGGCTGGCGTCTCCTAACTACCCCCAGCTTCCTGGAAACGCTGAGCAGGAGTTTTGGAAAGGAACCTTTGCAGCGTCCCATGGGAACAACCACGAAAAACACAAGATCACCCTCTGGGACCTTCCACAGCATGTAGGGGGGCATCGCCATGGTAACACACTCCATCCACTCAATCCATCCAAGCCCCAGAACAGCTGGCCAGACCCAGGCCAACAAAACCAGACGTGGCAACAGTGTACAAATGGATGGAACACTAACTTCCCTGCACCTCACCCGCTCGGGCTCCACACTAAAGGCCAATGAGTGTTGAGGAAACTGCCAAATGTCTATTTTCACACTGCTGATACTTCGGAATGTTTAGGACAGCGGTGCTCACGGTGTGGTCCCTGGGATGGCAGGAACCTGTTTAAAATGGAGATATTTGAGATTCAACCTCAAACCCACCAAATGTGATGCTCTGGGCTGTCCCCCCGCCCCGAGGTGACTTGGACGTGAGACAGGGACTGAGGACCGCTGATGGCAGCGTCCCATGGTGGAGACAGCGAAGCTACCTCGGGGAAACTGGTGTCGGCTCATTATGTATAGACATGCCCTGCGCTTCCAGGCCCAACGTGTTAACACTCTCATCTGCAACGAAGGCCAATCATCTCCATCGAAGGCCAATTTCCCTAACGATGGGAACAAACGCCTCGTACTGGGCCACAGGAGTAGAAATTCACACGTCTGCCTGGAGGCTCGGTGTGGATCCGGCATCGCTGGGGCAGCAGCGCCAGCCCCGGGGCCTTGGGTTTTGAGATCCTCTTCGGCAATGTGTATTAATACTGGAGCAGGGCTTTTGGGTCCCTCGATTTCTTCAAGGGATCTGAACGCTCGGCGTGAGGAAGACGCCACTTCCAGGCTTGCAGACCTCTGAGGGGACCGGCCATCACAAAGCTCGGGCGAGCTCCTGAATCCCACCTGTTTGCCCACAGAAGCCAATGAAGTGGACCCCTACACTCGGCCGCAGGAGCAGCCCCACTGCTAATGGACCACAGTTCTGTCATCTCCACTGAACCTCCCGGTCACTTGCTGGCAATACGTTACGTGCTTAGCAAGGGAGGATTACCCCGTGAGGCCACTGGGGTGCCCCTGGGTGCGCCAGCTTCACCGGCTACGCGGCGCACACCTTCCAGCAGCAACGAGGCCATGGTGGAGAGGACCCAGCTACAGGGTGGGAACGTTTCTCAACTGGGTTCCTCCTCTGGCAGGAGAAGAAACCACAGAAAAAGCCCCTGGGTAGGCCCTCGGGGTGCGTTTCGGATCCATGCCTGACAAGGCATGAAAAATCAGCGAGAAAGCCAGCGGGCAGGGCCCACCTGCGGGAAACAACCCTTTGGCCACCACCCGTGGGGGGATCCCGGGCTCCAGGGGCTGAGTGCGCGGGAAGTGTGAGGCTGCAGCTCCATCTCCCCCAGGGCAGCGGCTGGTGGCTGAGCCCCTCCCAGCGCCCACAACCCTGGCAGCTCCTCCAGCCTCTGGGCCCCAGGACTGCGGTTTGGGTAGTGTTGGGGGGGGGTGTCCTACAACGCCTCATTCCAGCTCCTGGTGGGGCAGGGACAGGAACCCAGGGGGAGGAAGCAGCCCCCTGCAAAGGGGCCCCAGAGGGAAAGGAGAGATGGGGGAAATTAAAAACCACACCGGGGCGAGACAACGGAAAGCAGAGCCGAGCCGAGACCATCACTCCAACATCCAGAATTCTTCCCTCGGCATCGCCCGGAAAGGCTGGTCCTCACCCAGCGACTGAGGAGGGGCTGCGTGAATGGGGCAGAGACAGTATTTTAATTCCTCTGGGCTGCGGCGGCCTGGAAACCAGGGGCGAGAAAGCCGTCACCGTGGGATCCACACCTGGATTTTAGGACCATGCTGCCACTGAGCTCTGGAGGCCCGTACAGGGCAGCGGGAGGAGGACCGCTCCCCCTGCGCCCCTCCTCCCCTCCGGGAGTAAATAAGTCCTTAAACACGGCGCAGGGACTCGGTGAGGCACCTGCCGCTCCTCCACCCCGTGCACAACCTCCAACTGTCAGTGCCGAGCCGCTGGCACCGCCGAGGCGCACCTGCCATCTGGAACAGACCTCCCATATTCCACGGCCGCCTTTCCGCTTCGCTGCACCCCTACCTTCCTGGGAATCACGCTGGGGACTGACACGCACAGCCTGGGCCGCAGGGAAGGTGCCCGGGATCTGCCCCCAAGTAGCGCGTCCCTTGAGGGAAGCCATGGCTACTCCCAGGAGCTCTCCCCCCACTCTCCTCTCTCTCTTGGTCTCAACAACCCTGCGGAAAGGGTGCCTGGAGAGAACGGGTGTGAGGAGAAAGGGGTGCAGTGGGCCCCAGGCCCCCCTCCAGGAGAGGTTTCAGAGAAATGCAGCTCCCAGGAGGTGACCTGGAGGGGAGGGCAGGCCCCACCTCCTCTGCCATCCAGGACAGAGCTGGGGTGGGGGTGCAGGTCGGGGGCAGGAGGGTGGCCTGAGGACAATCCGCCCTTGACCCCAAGCAAGGGGTGTCTGGCCTGGGCCTGTTTCCTCTGCACACCATGGCTCTCCTCGCCTTACAGGGCTGCTGTGGGAACGCGAAGGATGCACAAACAGCGCCCACCCAAATGCCCCGCTGGCGCCACTACTGCTGAGGGGCGCTCTCTGGGAGGAGGGACCCTCCTCCCCTGGGCACCGTGGCCTAGGACGGGGAATCCCGGGTGGCGGAAGGGGGCGGCCCTGAGCCAGATAGGCCCCGCGGCGGGTCCCTCCGGGGCTGGGGCCCGCTAACGAGCGGGGGCCCCAGGTGCGGGCCCCATCGCGGGCTGGGGGAGGAGCGGCCCGCGCCTAATGACTGTTGACAGCGCGCGCCGGGGCGGGCCGGGTGCGCGCGCCGCTGACAGCTGCTCCGGCGCGGGCGGGGCGAGACCGCTCGGCGGCCCCCCGCCCCTCCACGGCGCACGCGCGTGCGCCCAGGCCGGGAGGGGCACGGAGGCGCGCGCGCACCCGGCCCGGGTTCGGAGGGCCTGCTGGAGCGGCTCGCGCGGGCTCCTCGCGGGCAGGCAGGTAATGAGAGTAACCATGGCAACCCACCAGAGGAAGTGTATTCTGCAGGAGACGTTAATCCCCTCTCCCCGGAGCTGGGACAGCCTGACTTTCCATTCTCACACAGTAATTAGATACCAGCTGTCAGTGCAGGGGGGACGGCTCGGCGGCTGCAGCCCGGCTGGGGTGGGGGCGCACGAAGTGGGCGGGGGGTACGCGGGGAGGAGAACGTTAAAGACACAAGGACACTTGGCGGCGGTGGGCCAGCGCGGTGTGCCTCCCCCAGCCTCCGGCCACCAGGCGCGCGCACCTGGGGACCCCGCCCCGCGGGGCCCCGCCCACCCACGCGCACCTGCTGCGCGCGCGCGCGCGCGCCCCGGCGCTCCTCCGCGTTCCCGGCCCCGCCTCCCCGCTCGCTCCCGGCGCACCTGCCCTGCTCCGCCTCTCGCGACGCTGCCCACCTGTCCTTTGTGCGGGGCGGTACCACTCGATCGAGCCAGCTCTCCTCCAGGGAGCTCCCGCTATGTGCCAGGCGCTGTGCCAAGGCTGAGCATGTGTAATCCTCATAGACCCTCGGCAGAGACGCCTCTGCGGCTCCCCGCCCAAGGCGCAGCGGGGTGTGGCCATTTGCTCCGGGTCACACGGACGGAGCCCCCATCCGAATGCCCCTTTAATCGTCCAAGTACCAGCGCCCACATCCGCTACGGCTCCGGGGGCCTCTGAGCCACGTTGTGCACCTACTGTGTGCCTAGCGTTCTCCCCCTCATTTCGCTCTCCCTGCGGCACCAGGAACCTTGAGGGTGGGGGAACCGAGGCAGACACGCGGGAAGACCTGCCCACAGTCACAAGGTACAGAACCGGCTGAGCTGGGATTCCAACCCAGGCCAGTGAGACCCAGGCTCCCAGCCTCCAACAGCTCAGCTCTGTTAACCCCACCCCTGGATTCAGCCCAGGTCTTTTTCCTCCCTTCCCCTGCTGCCTCTCCAGGCCACACCTGAGAAATGGAAGAACTTTCTAGGCCTAAGGACACCACCACGTCCCTAATTTCTGTCTGCTTTCCCAGAAGCCCTTGCTTCTTGCAGTTTACCCAGGCCTCCAAGGCAGAGGCTGACCCAGAGTGGGGGTGGCCTGATGGAGCTTTGGGAGGAGGGGGCTGAGTGCCCTCAGGCCCAGCTGAGCCTCCTGCCCCCACCCCGCAGTCAGGCCTGGGGGGCACAGCAGGGAGGGGCAGGAAGCCCTGAGCAGCAGAGCCTCTGTGTCCTCCGTGGCGGCAGCGGGTGTCTGGGGCAGGAGGAGGCTATCTGATCCCTTCCCCACTGCCCCGGCCGTGACCTCCTCCCTCCCTCCCACACGCCCTCCCTCTCTCCTCCCTCACGGCCAGGGTAGCCAGCACCCCAGGCTGCAGCTGAGAACCCAGCGTTCCCCAATCGGGTGCCGCGCACATTCCTGTGGGAGGAGGGATGGGGGAGGCTAGGCCTGGGGCTCTAGGGCCAGGGGCACCTCCGGGGCCGCCCCGCCCCACCCCGCACAGCGGGCCAGGGCCAGGGCCGGGCCGGCTGCCTCCTGCCTCCGCTCTCCCCATCTCTCAGTAGCAGAGCTGCCTAAATTTGGCTCCAGGAGCGAATGGGGGAGGTGGCAGCAGGCGGGTGCTGTCAGAGAGGCCAGGGCGTAGCTCCCGTCTCGCCGGCTGGCATTTTTGCTGTCTGGAGGAGGGCGGGGGGCCCAGCAGGCCTGCCCCGGAAAGGGAGATGTTCGTACCTTCTGACACGAACTGAGTAATGTGCAAACGACATGCAAACCGAGCTTCCAATCAGCATCTCAGCCAGGAGCGGCTTGGGTACCCTTTGGGGATGGGAGCAGGACCAGGGGCCCACTCCCCAGGGGGATCCAGTGGGGGCTGGGAGAGTGCAGGGCGGCCAGAGCCGGGTGTTGGGAGACATGGATTCTCACCAGCAGTGAGGCTTCATTCTAGACACTGGACCCTCTGGGTCCCAGCCCAGGGGCAGGGCCCTGGCCCGGTGCTGGACACGCCCGGCCGCATGGTTATGCACGGGAGCGCTGCGCCGCTCTGCCCAGGCTGACCCTGGCTCTCCACTGGCCGGGCCCTGGGGGAATTCCTCAGCGAGCTCCTGGGTTGGGCCTCCACTTAGGACAGCCGCTTCCCTTCCCTGGAAGTTGGGCACAGGGGCAGGACCTGAAAGAGCCCAGCCTTCAGAATCACACCTGAGCTCCAAGCCTGGTTCAGCCAGGGAGTCTCTGGGTCTCGCTCTCACCTGGGAAACAGGCTGAAGACCAGCAGGCCAGCTGGGATGTCCACGTGGTGGCCGTGCACGGCTGGACACGGATGGGGCGGGTCCTCTTTGCTCTTTTGTCCTGGTTTTCCTCTTGCTCTAAGCAGCTGGGAATCTCCTGTAGCCTCTCTCTCTCTCTCTCTCTCTCTCCCCCCCTTCCCACTTGTCAGGCTGACCTTGGACAAGTCACTGTCTCTCAGAGTCTCACAGGGACCAGCGGGCTAGTGAGAGTGACTAGAGCCCGGGGCCTTGCTGGGGGACTCGATGGGCGGCGCTGTTTACAAAAGCCCCCTACCTGTCATCCCGAATGACCAGGATGGGTGGGCGGTACCCTCAACTCTATCGGGTTTGGGGTGTTGGGGCCCCACTTCTTGGTGACTCTGTTTAACCCCTGATAACCGCTCTCCTGCCCCTCGGCCAGGGCTGATATAGGAGCAGAATCCAACTTCCTGCCACCCAAAAGCCACTTCCTGCCAAACTCGAGCTGATACCAGAAGAACTTGTTTTCTGTGCAGAGCAGGCGCTGGTGGGGCAGCCTGCCTATGAACATTTTTTCCACTTGCCAGCGGGGCCGGGCGGGGGAGGGCGAGGACTCTGCCCTCTGCACCTCTGCACCTGCCTGTCCTGCCCCGAGGGAGCACACAGGCCTGCCAGCCACCCCAGGAAGTGTGCCAGGTGTCCCTCCAGGCCCAGACAGATGTGTGTAGGCTGGGACGCACAGTCGGTCTGACAGAGCCCCTGCAGCCACCAGGCATCTGGGTTAGGACTCGGGGAGAGGACGTGTGTGACGGTGACACACAGTGACAGTCACTGGGCCACACGCAGAGGCCCACTCCATCTCAGTCACCAGCTTAGCCACAGGAGTCTTCTGCTCGCCCCCCCCCCCCGCCTGCCCAGCACCCCCTTCTCCTGCCAGTACCCTTGGAAGCTCTGCCCTGAGTCAGGCTTTGGTCTAACCCCTAAGAATTACTGGGGGGCTGGAGTTGTGGTGCAGCAGGAGCGCTGGTCTGATCCAGTTCCCTGCTAATGCGCCTGGGAAGGCAATGGAAGATGACCCAAGTGCTTGGGCCCTGCGCCCACATGGGAGACCTGGATGGAGTTCCGGGCTTCTGGCTCAGCCATTGTGGCCATTTAGGGCGTGAACCAGTGGATGAACGATCTCTCCCTCTCTGTCACTCTGCCTTTCAAATAAATAAATCTTTTTTTTTTTTTTTTTAACAGGCAGAGTGGACAGTGAGAGAGAGACAGAGACAAAGGTCTTCCTTTGCCATTGGTTCACCCTCCAATGGCCACCACAGCCGGCGCGCTGCGGCCGGCACACTGCGCTGATCCGAAGGCAGGAGCCAGGTGCTTCTCCTGGTCTCCCATGGGGTGCAGGGCCCAAGCACTTGGGCCATCCTCCACTGCACTCCCGGGCCACAGCAGAGAGCTGGCCTGGAAGAGGGGCAACTGGGACAGAATCCGGCACCCCGACCGGGACTAGAACCCGGTGTGCCGGCGCCGCAAGGTGGAGGATTAGCCTAGTGAGCCGCGGCGCTGGCCTCAAATAAATAAATCTTTTTAAAAATTGAGATAGTGAGGAATCAGTGGACCTGTGTTGTTCCAGGATCCTCATCTGTGGAATGGGAGGGAGGAAGGAGGAGCGGATGCAGGTGCAGCCCCTGGTCTGTGTCTGGCCCACAAGAACGCCATCAAACTCTGAGCCAGGAGCGTCCTGTGTCCAGTTCCACGCAGGGCACCTCATGAGATCACCGCGAGCCCTTGGCCAAGCCCCCAGCCAGGGGGGCCGCTGCCCCCTCTCAGAGGTGAGGAGACGGGCTCGGAGAAGAGTCTGCACAGGGCACCCCCACTGGCCTCATGTCCGCCCTGTGCCTTTCCCTCTCAGCCCTCACTGCTGGCCAAATACAGGATGCCCCAGGGGACCTCTGGGCTGAGAGGCAGCAGCATTGTGTCCGGTTCTCTGGCACACAGTAGGTGCTCAACAATGAGTTCAGAACTTAAAAAAAAAAAAAAAAAAAAAAACAACAACAACAACAAACAGACAACGTGGCCTCGCAGCAACGGAGGACAGGGTCCGGAATCGAACCGAGGACGCTCCCAAGTCTCGACAACATGTGAGTGCGTGAATGAATGAGTGGAACCGAGATCTCGGGGGCTCAGGCCAGCGCGAACCCCCTTCGTCTCCTGGCAGCGTGGACACGAGCCAAGCTGCGGCCACCTTGGACGGCGGCGAGGCTGACGGCCGCCTGAAGCCGTCTGTCAGAAGCTCGTCTGGCCAGAGCCGCCAGCAGGGGCGACCAGCTGGCGGGGCAGGGTCCCTGGGCCCAGGCCTGGAATCTGAGCCGCCCTCAGAGGCCCGGCTTCTCCACGGGTCCCCACAAACTGGCCTTTGTTCCCCGGACCAGCCGAGGCCCGGCAGCTTGGGCATTCTCTGCCCGCGGCACCCGTGCTGCTGGCGAGTAAATGGGCCAGCCTCCCCTCTGT